ATGCCCATGGGATGGCAATGCAGCTTCTTCCCACTAAACCTCCAGAGCTCCCCTAAAGTGGCTTACTAGGTGTCTTTCATATCCTAACTTTCTGTGAGTTTGATAGTGTAGAGTTTGCAAAAGGAACAGAAGCAGTGTATGGGTTAGCCAAGTCTGACTTCTTCCTACTTCATAAATGGGAATTGTTCCCATCAGTAACATCCTTAGTACCAAACAACTACATGGTTAGACATGCCACCTCCCCCCCCCCAGGCTTTTGCTCCTATTTCTATGAATCACCATTACACAATCCCACCAAGAGTGTATAAGAAAGAGTTCCTATCGAACCACATCCTCGCCAGTGTTTATTACTTGCTGTCCTGTTAAACTTTGCTACTGCTACTGGGATGAGATGGTATCTCATTCTGGTTTTGATTTGCATCTCTCTTATTGCTAGTGATTTGGAGTGTTTCTTCATGTGTCTGTCTGTCATTCGAATATTTTTCTCTGTGAAAATTCTTTCCATGTCTTCTGCCCATTTTGTAATTGGGTTATCAGTCTTTTTCTTGTGGAGGCCAAGGAGTATTCTGTAATCTTCCATTATGAGATACTTGTCTTAACTGTTATTGTCAAATATTTGTTCCCAGTCAGTAGGTTTTCTTTTTACCCTGTTGGAAAAAAGTTTTTGATGCACGTAGGGATTCAATATTTCAAATGCTCCGTTGATCAGTTTTATCCTTTTCAGATTGTACGTTTCTGGCTGTATTTGGCAGTCTATTTATACTGTTGACAAGGCCTTCTGAGCTTGATCTGAGTTTGTCTCTTATGAACTTTATGGTTTGAGGCTTTACTACCAGGTCTCTGATCTACCTTGAGTTGCTTTTTGTGTGTAATGTGAGATGTGGATCCTGTTTCAGCTTACTACAGGCAGCAATCCACAATCCAATTTTGCCAGCACTATTTGTTGAAGAGGTTGTCATTTCTGCACTTGATAGTTTTTATTTCCTTGTTGAATATTAGTTGACCATAGATAGTTGATTTCCTTTTCTGAGTTCTCTTTGTTACCGTAGAGAAATCCCACTGATTTTTGAATATTGATCTTATATCCTGCCACTCTACTAAATTGCCCTACTAACTCTAATAGGTTTTTTGGTTGAGTCTTTGGGGTTTTTATGTAAACTGTCTTATCATCTGCATATAGTGATAGTGTAACCATCTTTTTGCAGATCCAGATGTCTTCTTGTATTGCCCTAGCAAGCATTTCTAATACAACATTTAATAGAAGTAATTGACATTGGACATCCTTGTCTGGTCCCTGTTTGCACAGAAAATGCTTTTAGTCTTTCTCCATTGAGAATAATGTTGGCTCTTGATTTTGCATATATTTACTTTTCACTACATTGAGGAAATTCTCTTCTATTCCAATTTTGCTGAGTGTCTTTATCAGGAATGGTGTTGTGTTTTGTGAAGTGCCTTTTTTGCATCAATTGCTAAGATATATGATTTATTTACTTTGTTGATATGGTAACTTACGTTGCTTATATTGAACCGTCCTTGCTTACCTGTTATGAATCCCACTTCGTTATGGTGAATTATTGTTTTGATGTGCTTTTGGATTTTATTGGGTATGGTTATGTTAATGTTAAGGGTTTTTGCATCTATATTCATGAGAGATATTGGTCTGTAGTTTTCTTTCTTAGTAGTTTTCTTTGCTTGATTTTGGTATTAGGGTTATGTTTGCATCATAGAATGACTCTGGGAAGTATTCCTTCTTTTCCAATTTTTTTGAAATGATTTAAGTAGAATTGATGATAGATCCTCTCTGAATGTTTTGTAGGATTCAGCTGTGGAACCATCTGATCCAGAACTTTTCTTAAGGGAAAATATTTTTTTATGACCTTTTCAATTTCTTTTTATGATGAGGCTTTTCAGGTGTTCTATAGTGCATGAGTTTCAAGAAATTTGCCCATTTCTTCTAGGTTTTCAAATTTATCAGAGAATAGCTTTTCATAGTATTCTGGTAGTACTGATTTCATTTCATCTGGTTCTGTTGTGATGTCCCCTCTTTCTTAATTGAATTATCTGTATTTTCTCTTTTTTTTCTTTTGTTAAGTTTGCCAGTGGTTTGTTAATTTTACTGACCCTTTTGAAAAACCAGCTCCTGGTCTTATTGATGGTTTCAGGTTTTTTCTGTTTCCTATTGCATTGATTTTAGCTCTTGTCCTTAAAAGTTCTTTTCTTCTAGAGGCTGTAAGATCAGATTGCTGGGTTTTTTCTTATTTGATGTAAGTGTTGAGTTAGATCATTGATTCTTCTTTCTACCGTTTTTATGTATGTGCCTATTGCTATAAAGTGCCTCCTGAGGACTATCTAGCTTGCCCCAGAGGTATGTAATTCTTTGTTTCTTTTATAATACAATCATTTTTCTAGCAGAGAGTTATTTTGTTTCCACATAGGTGGTTTTATAAGCTTTACTCTCTTGTAGTTAATTTCTAGTTTTATGGCATTGTGGTTTGAGAAGATACTTTGTATTATTTCAGTGCTTTTTAATTTGTTGATGCTTGCTTAATTTGTTGTCCTAATATATGATCAATTCTGGAGAATGTACTATATGCATTTGAGAAGAAAGTGGAGTTTTAGGTGGGTAAAGTACCCTGAATACAACTGCAAGGTCAAGTTGGTAGATCTTCTGTGTCTTTGTTGAGAGTCTTTGAGTTGACTTATCCTTTGGTGATAGTGGTGTATTGTGGTACCACCATTGTCTATTTGTTTCTTTAATTATATTAACCATTGTTTTATTTATTTTGCAGGTCTATCATTTGGTGCATAAATGGTGCATATATATTGACCAAGATTATGTCTTTTGATCTGTTGTGCCTTTAATCAGTATGTAATGCCCTTCCTTATCTTTGATGGTGGTTTTCACTCTGAAATCTATTATATCACAGATTAGTATTGCCACTCTTGCTTTTTTGAGGTTGACATTTGCTTAGTGTATTTTTTTCCAGCCTTTGATTTTGAGTCTCTCTCTTTTCTTCTTTTAGATGTGTCCCTTGTCAGCAACATTTTGATGGGCTTTGTTTTTTTATCCATTCTGCTACTCATTTTCTCTTAATTGACACATTTAGTCCATTCACATTAAGTGTAATTATTGTCAGGTCAAATTTTACCCTTGCCATTTTGCCGTGTTTCTTTTTCTGTTGTTTCTGATTACTATGGTTTATACACTTTCTTTTGGCATTTCTGTGTGAAGGACTTCACTTAAAATTTCTTGTAGTTTTAGTCTTGTTTTCACAAATTCCTTAACTTCCTTCTTTTCTGCAAAGGATGTAATTTCTCCTTCATACTTGATGGGGAGCTTTGCTAGGTATAGGATCCTTGACTGGCAATTATTTTCTTTCAACTTTCTGTGTATGCCATCCCATTGCTCAAATGGTTTCTGCTGAGAAATACAAACTTAATCTAATTGTTTCTCCTTTGTAGGTAACTCTTTGTTTTTCTTGTGCTGATTTTAGAATTCTATCCTTATCTTTTCATTTGGAGAATTTGTCTGTGATATGTCTTGATGTTTTTCTTTTTTGGATCTAGTGTATTTGGTGTTCTCTGTTCAGAAGCAAAACCTTTAACTTTGTATCCATCTCCAGGGTTCTGTCCGGCTACCCCTTGCCACAGTCTCTTCACAATCTTGCCACAGTGTGGAAAGCACTCTTATATTGGTCCCACAGTTTTTTATTATTTTCAAGACCATATGTCCACAGTTGAAGTAGTTGGTGACTATGACCCCAGTGGGGGCTAACTCAATACACATTGAGTTATTGGCTAACTCAGAACCCATTTTTCAAAGTTATAGCTGCATAGACCTGTGTATACAATTATATGTTTACTGTTCATGTTGAACAGTTTTGAAGGCAGACTGCACTGGTGTTGGTTGCAGTCTGTCTTCAGTCAGGTAGAGCAGTAGTCAGTCTTCACTCTTCCTCAGTAGGTGCAGCTGCAGGAAGTAAATGTGTGATTGGGCTGTTTGAATACAGATACTGTATGTTACCAAAGACAACAACAACAAAACAAAGTCAGAAAGGGAGGCAAAAACAGTAAAAGAAAAATCAAACCAGAAACAAATACAAAAAGAAGGAGGAGGGAAAAAAACCAGGAAAGACAAAAGCAAAAGAAGGTAAGAAATGGAAAAACAAGAAGAGTGGTGGTAAAGAAAAATGGGAAACTTTGGGAATGGTGCAAGAGAGATGGCTCTGCATGTAATTGATATTCTTGCCACTGTTATGGTGGATAGGGGCAATAAATCTGGTCTTGATCTGTCTGTGTTTCTTCCGGCTCAGCAGAAGTTTGTAATAGAGTTTCTGCTCATTGGTGAGCTAGCTGAGAGCACTGAGAGAGCCCATGATCTAGTACCAAGCTACATATGGTACCTCTACTGGCCTAGGGACTATTAAAGGGCAGGTTATACTCAGTCTGAGATGAAGTTTCTGCTGGGCTAAAAGGTAAATACAGAATTGTTAAGTATTAAAGTAATCCTCCAAAGACTTTTTTGTGTTCTTTGGGGTGGGGGAATGTCATCTACTCAGATGTCTTTTATTTATTAAAAATATAAATCTTGGACTTGAGGGGGGAGGGATTTTATAACAATGAAAGAATTTTTCTTTTTAAAAAGAAGAGTGAATTGGGCAGGGAGGGGTAGGCAGAGAGAAAAGTGCAACAATGAATGAATGGACACCCGAAGTCTCTGTGAACTTTCATTAAAATTAATTAAAAAGAGAAAGGAAAAAATATAAAATATAAATCTTAAACCCTCAGAAGGCTTTAAGAGATTAATTTGTGTATGCATTTGGTATAAAAATAGTTTTAGAGAGTAAGTAGCATTTATATAGGTATATTTTACATTTTCTCAAACCAGGTAAAAAAACAAACTGGAGACATAAATGTGAAGAAGTTATCTTTTCTTTATTTCAACAAAAAATTACCTAACCAATATTAATAATTCATGGTATTTATTTTTTGTTTTAAAGACAGATGCACATTATTCCATTCTATCACTTCTTCTTTGTCTTTCGGATTCTCCTTCTAACAGCAATTATGTGGAAATACAAGGAAATAAAGAAGTGGGTATGTTACCAGCTGGCATAATAGCAAAAATAAAGGTGAAGCTGATTGTAGTGTTTGATTACTAAAAATATATTTTCATACTAATATGTGCAACTCATATAAAATGAAAATATTTGTTACTCTGGATACAATTCTTTTGTTCAATAAAGCAGAATTACATTTGAAATATAAGTTTTTACTTTTTAAACAATTTTTGTAAT